TTGAGTTTCACCACATTACGCTGCTCTGTACGTGATTGAATTTAAAAAAGATGTCCGACACCGCTTTACTGGACTCGTTGAGCAACAAGGAGCTGCTGGCCAAGTGCCTGCAGCTCGGCCTGCCGGGCGTCCCGGTGACGGACAGCACCCGTAGTGTGATCATTCGCCGGCTCAAGGCTACAATCTCTGGGACTCCGCTGAACAAAAGCCAAAACTGCAAGTAAGAAAGCAACCCCCAGACGTGAGACGTGCACGGCAGCCAGGTTTCGACGCCCACTCAGAGCCAGTGCGTCGTTCGGCCGTAGAAGTGCTGCCCGCAGCAACGGCAGCAAATAGCGAGCAGGGTCGTCGCACCATCGCCTACGGGCTGGACAACACCTCGGTCTCTGGGAGGTCGGTACAGACCACGACCACTGTCTCAGATGTGGTTCCCAGTCGGAGGACGATGACTTCTACGTGGTGGATTCACCTGGAGGCAGATACCAACAGGACCAAAAGAACAGGCGCTCTGTGTCGCTGACCAAATCCGGAGTTCTGACCACTTCGTACACCCGCGAGGTGGACCAGCCGCTGTACGAACAAGAGGACATACCAAGCAGCTACACCTACGAGAGACCACAAGTGGCAGCCGCCCACTTCACACCTGCCTACCTATGAGCCACGCATCGAACCCTCGACTACAGACGCACAGATTTGGGTTTCTCGCGACCCCTGCTGACCCAATCCAATCTTAACTCTACCAGCTACCAGGAGGCATCGGGATTCAACCCATCCCTCTCGCCCGTTTCGCCAAGAAACACTTTCAGCGGCTCCGCCAGGCCTTTTGGCGGTCCAGCACCAGCTCCGGTACGCCAGCGTTCGAGTGTGGCGGCCGGTGGAAACAACTTGCCCGTGGTCGCCTGCTCCAGCCTACCACCGCGGTGAACACCCTCTATCCGCAACTGAATCAGTTCTACGATCAGCCAGATAGTGAGGCGAACCCATGGAAACCGAGAGCGAGTCCGAGGCGGAGTCAGCCCCGATACGGAGCAGTCATTTCGCAACCAGACGCTCCTCGCCGCTGGCCAGGCCTCAGGGCAGGAAACCTCTGGTAAGACAACACGACCAGGTGTCACCCATGTCGCAGTTCTGTGCCTTGCTCGTATCGCTGGATCAGAAATATAATCTCAAGTTCTACTTCATACTGGTAGTGACAGTGATGCTGGCCACCATGATCTATGTGGCCATGACGCCCAACTCTTAGGAAGGCTTAATAACATGTTACTGCGATTGCCTTTCAAATTTGGTTTCGGTTAATACACGCATTTGGACCCCTGGACTTCAGTGGAGGACTCTCCATCAAGACTTTGCACCTTAAGACTATTTTAAATTCCCAGACAAGTTCAGAAGTACACAAATATTCAGTTCAAATTGCCAAGTCTTTAATTGCTTGTTTTCGCATATGGTTTCTTTTTATACATAATTAGAAAAATGTACTACATTATAATTATTGTATTGTATTAAATAAACTAATTAAATGTAAGTGCTCAGTGTTTTGTTGCGATTTGTGTGTGTGGTACTCTCTGACAACGGATCAGGGGATTTCTATGCTTTATGCTACTATTTACACGCCATTTAAATGAACAAAACAAACAGTGTAAAATCGTCGAAGGATATCGGGGGGGATCGCGGCTAGGACATCACAAAGCAAATGGCTGCTGGCGGCGATGGCTGACTAATTGAAGTGGAACTTGAACTGGAACGGCGACCCGTGCTGGAAGTGGCCGAACGGATGTTCGCCGTGGAAGCCGCCGCCGCCGCGCTGAGCGGCCTCAGGATCCAGGGGATCCTCGCCGTTGTCAAACTGCCGGCGTTTCTCGGGATCGGTTAGCACCTCCTTGGCGGCGGCGATGTCGATGAACTTCTTCTCGGCCACCTTCTTCTCCTCGTCCCGGAAGTTGTCCGGATGCCACTTTTGCGCCGCCTTCCTGTACGCCTTGACGATCTCCTGTTTGGTGGCGCTGCGCTTAACGCCTAATATCTTATAGTAGTCCCTGCGCTCTGACTGCTTCTGCAGCTTCTTGGCCCGCTGGATGCCCTCTTTCGCGCGGGTGTTGCTCTCCTCCAGGTCGAGGGCCGCTTGGTAGGAGTGTATGGCATCGTCGAACATCTCGGTGCCCAGCAGCGCCTCAGCCCGATCACAGTAAACCTGGGCGTCCTTCATAATATCCAGGGCCTCCTTGCACTGCTGCAAGGCTTTGCCAAACTGTTCGTCGCCCGTGTAGCAATTGCAGAGCACCTTGTGACCCTCGTACCGGATCATCGTCTCCACCGGCTCGTGCCGCAGCACCGCCTCTCCGGCGGATATGCAGTCGGCAAACTGTTTCTCCTCTCGCGCCTGCTCTGCATTCACCAGCTGCTTTTCCACCTTACGGAGTTTCTTGTAGAAGGGGAAGCAGAGCTTGTGCTCCGGATCGAACTTCAGGCACTCGCGGATCTCCTTCAGGGCATTGGTGGCATGGCCAATTGTGTACAGCAGCTGCGCAATGTTGTAGTGACCCTCAGTACTGTCCTGGGTGAGCCGGTTTACCTGTCGCAGGTCTGCAATGGCGGACAATGGATCGTTGACGGCAATGTAGGCATCTGAGCGAGCCTGTCGGAAGGGCACCGCCCACGGCGAGATCTCCAGCAACTGTGTGATCATGCCAATGGCGTTTTGGTGGTCGCTATGCAGAATCAGCTGCTTCACGAGAGACCATTGCTCCTGGGCGGGGGCCAGGCGGGAGTAGTGCTCCAGCACCAGACCGTTGTTGGGCTCCTCCTGGAGCACTTGCTCGAAGTCCACGATCGCTTGTTCATACTCTCCGCTCTTCATGTACACCACACCCCGCTGGATGCGGGCGGCCGTGAAGTCTGGCTTCAATTCCAGGACCCTGCTGAAGTCCTGGACGGCAAAGCGGGTCTTGCCCAGCGCCAAGTAGACGGTACCACGCTTGAAGAGCGTCAGGTAGTTGTTGGCATCACCCTCTGCAGAGGAGATATATGTTAAATCAAAGGTAAAAGAAGAGAAAGGTTGGGAATATCCTTGGAGTATCCTTGAAGTTATAACAATCTAGCCAAGTGCTGGCAGAAATAAGGAGGTCATTCTGCACTTCATAAACCCCATTAGTAATAATATTTCATTAAAGTTTGTTCATCTATTTCGATTCTTATATGGTCATAACTATCTTGTAGACCTTGATATTGGCTTTAAGAAGGTAAACCGATAGTAAAATAAATAAAATTCTTCGATTTCTTGGGGAAAAGAAGTTAAATATGCAAAAATTATTAAAATTAAAAGGTTATATGGCCAGCCATGGCAACATTTGATGACTACTTTAAGTAACACTTAAAAATTCAACCAAAATAACAGCAGCTGCTATGGTAATTCACGATTGACCTTTATGGCTGCAGAATTTTAACCTAGAACTTGAGCTCTCAAGGCTATACCAAGTCTTTCCAAGTTAATTGGTCATTTATAATTACCAACAGCCGCATGGTAGTGCGTCAGTGCATCCGACAGCTGACCGCGGGCCAGGAATTCCTTGCCCAGCTCCAGATGGTTCTCAATGTCCGCCGGACTGGCCGACGACTCGGCGCCTGTGCGAAAAGCAATGACGTGTTGTTAGCCAGTCTTCAGAGATAAGGGACTACAGCTGTGTGCACTTACCTTCCAAGAAGAGCTCCATGAGGAGAATCAGCAGGCAGGCGGCCAGTTTCTTCTCGCCGCCGCCGAACATGAGTAGGTCGCTCAATGGCAAGGCCATGTTTATGGGCTACGTGTACTTGGATGGCCGCACAAGACCCGAGTGTGGGCGTGATTTGGAGTCGAATCTCTATCGACACGCACGTCAGATCTGCTTGGCGTGGCAGCTGCTAATCTCTACGGGAGCACCCCGCCCCCTCTTCCGGCTTGGCTATTATGGATTTGACTCCGTTTTTGGTCAACTTGCAGCGCCGTCTGCGTTTTTTTATTCGGCTTTTTCTGAATTGGTCAGTTGGGTTTGGTAAGTTTTCTGACTGATAAGGATCTTGCTGGTAGTCCTTGTGGACGTCGCCGCCAGTGCTAACTTGGATTCGCTACCGATGGGCACTGAACTTTTCGCTTATAAATATAAACTAAAAACTGACGTGTTCCTAGAGATGGGCAACTGTTGGCCGCAGGTGAAACTGGTCACCGATACCAGATGCAGTCACGAGTCACAGCTATCGCATGTGGGCGGTCACTTCGCCGGCAATTTCTAGCTATTTTCTAGCTAGTACTGTTCTACCTTTAAAGTAAATCCGTTATTAATTCAAAACGGGATTCAAAATATAACAAATTATTGAAAATCTAAATGATATTGGGACTATTTATTTAAAATATAACGACACTTTAAGCTTTGGTCAAATGAATTTTTATTTGGAACATGAATTTGGTAAATATATCTGCTACTACATTTATTAAAATCCATAGTATATCGATATTTTAAATATTCTTATACGTTTTCGGTAATTATTGTAAATACTTCTCGGTTTCATCTGGAAATAAATGCATTTCTTGAGCATTACAAGTTTGCCGTGAAGCTTAAATTGCTCGTATAACACCTTTTTTGTTCTCATTGCTTATTGCTTATCGCTAAATGGTCAAGTGGATATATGTTTGCTTGGAGTGTTAGATTGTTAGAGGCGTTCTGTGAGATTTATATGAATCAGAGATAGAAAGAGATATGGGGCTCAATAAGAAATTGGCAGAGATATATGGGATATCGAGTAAAATTCGCCTACGGAGTATTCTAAGTAAAGCTCTAAGCACATTACAGATCGCAGTGCGCATATGGTCTAGTAATTGGATGGAGGGTATGGTCTATGTAGGCTTGAGATCAGTGAGCTACGCTTACGCTCCCAATACGGTTTCCGTGCTTGTGCTTGGCTATAACAGAAATCTTTGCTGTTCCACTTGGTTAGGAAATCACAATGTTGATCAGATCATCCAGAGGGTGGTCCGCAGAGTGCGGCTGAGAGGCGGCGTGTGTCTTTTGCATGTGAGCTGGAATTGATTTTGATCTTAATAGAAGTGGCTTTCGAATCGTTATGAATAAATACTTTTGAGCTTAATGTGCGTGACGAATCTCTCTTGACAGAGATCGCATTTATAGTAGGTTTTGCCAGTATGAACACGCTGATGCAGCCGCAATGACTTCTCAAACAGATAGGCTCGACCGCAAACGTTGCACTTGAAGTTTTTTTCCAAGACTGAAAAAGATGGGAGATTATTATGAGATATTTCAAAATCTGCATTGGTATTATAAAAATAATTAGGTTTTAAAAAAAAGTGTTAGTACTCGAAAAATGAGGAGACAAGTTTTGACTTGATGATATTATCAGCTTACCCTCATGACTCAACCGGTGCTGGGTGAGCACATACTTGAGTGCAAAGGCCTTTCCACAGACATCGCACACATTGGGTTTCTCCTTTTCATGGGTCTTGATGTGCCACTTCATGTCCTGGGCGCGTTTGAACCTCTTGGAGCAATGTGGACAGGCATGGGGTCGATCTTTTTCCGAGTGTACGGCTGCGTGCCGCTCCAGCGCCGACTTCATGTTGAATCGCTGCGTGCAGCTGCCACACTGAAAGAGTCCGGAGTACTGTCGTTCCCGCTTCTGTTGCAACACCCGCTTGTTGTTGGCGATCACCGGAGCACCGGGACGTTGCAGATGCTCCACGGACATGTGCTGGATCAGATCCTGTTCGCTGGTAAAGGGCTGGCGGCACAACATGCACTCGCTCCGCTCGATGGCAGTTAGATTCTCCCTATGCCGCTCCAGCATGTGGATTCGCTTCTCCGCGTAGGATGCGAAAACTATGGAATCGAGGAAAAAAAGGTTTAGTAGTGATCGGTAAAGGGTTTAAGGGTGGATAGTCGTAGGGTGTCATGAAGTAGTAACATATGTATGCACTCGGAAAAAGTATCGTCCTGAAATTGGAACCATGACTTCATTATAAAAAGAGTTTTGTTTTTAATTTTAACATAATAATCAATCAATTTTCTTGTTTTCCAATTTCAGGACAATTCTTAGAGTAATTGCTGGCATGCTGCTCTCCAGGATTTCGAACGGTGGATGGAGTTGGTTATGCATTGGTTGGTTGGTTTGATGGTTTGATGGGTTAAAACGCTAATCAAGTGGCTAAGTGGAAATCAAAGTACAAAACATTTGACGTTTGTTAATCGCATGCGATGGCTAAGAAGGTGTACAAAAAGAGCTGGGTTAGCCATTATGTTTACCGTTGCTTCAGGCTTGACTAACACACACTATATGAGGCGGCATGGCTCAGTTTCTATGGTCTTAAAGCGCTTGTTGGATGTGAGAATGTTGATATATGATGCGACAGATTGATATATGGTTAATGCTCATGTTCGTGAATAGTTTAATAGTCGAGGGATCTTCCCATATCCTTGATATACAAGGTGCGGAAGATCCAGTGTTGGTGTCCCCGAGCCGGAGGATCCTCCAGCAGTCCCATCTTCACTTACCCTCCGTGCAGTTGGCACACTTGTAGGGCTTCTCTCCGCCGTGCTGTCTATAAATGTGCCAGCGAAGGGTCTTCAGGTGTATAAAAGCTGGTGGGATAGAACAATGGGTGATCTATATTTAGAAATAGCTAATAATATAATATAAT